AATATAATTAAGCACACCAAACATATATGTCTTCACACATGACCATGTAAAATTCAAATAAAACGACATATACGCAATCACACATGACCATGTAAAATTCAAGTTACTATTTAGTAATGTTCATCAATCCATTATGGAACTTATTAATTCATCTAGCTGGCCAGTAACCATTTGGTTGATGCCCTACACCCCACCCCACAGCAGCGAAAACCCAGCAAACTTCCTGAAAATTACAAAATATACTATAACATGATTGTTTCTTAACAATTAAAAATTAATGTTTAATTTGCTAAATAAAAGTAATGATCACATGATTATCAAACCTTAAATATTTCTTCTACTTATATTTCTCTGACACGAAACAGGGCTTAAACTCCTCATCCGGAAGCTCATCCGAAAACTGGTTGACGCCAAGTTTGTAGCCGCGGTCCGGGCCTGAGTTGAAGGCTTCGATTTCCAACCACTTCTTTCTGAACGCGGCAAACCGCACCGCCCTCTCTGCGTCATCTTTGTACACCCGGCCATACAGAACCATCCACTTCTTGAATTCTTGTTCGATTGTGACTCCGAATCAACGGAGCTGTGAACAGTTACGATGACTAGGAAAATAGATATTATTAGTACTTTCATTGAGATTGAGAGCGACATTGTATGTAATTTTTAGCAATGCAGCAAAGAATATTGTTGGGTAATTATACGGCTATGGTTAGGGATTGGGCATGAAAAATTGGGTCGGGGAATTACCACGAGAACGAGATTAATAGTGGCCATGTTTGTTTTTTGGGCTGTTTGGCCAAACCTCTATTTTAGCTGTTTTGACCGAGTCAAAAACGCTAAAATTATGTTGTTTCTTTTTTTTTTTTCTCTTCTTTTCTTCTTCTCCACTCAATTTATGGGTGGTGATATATGAGTATAAACGCCACACATTCACATTGACAGTTTTGTTTAGTGGACCAATTTCTTTTCCCTTCAAAATGACATTTTTCTTTTTCCATTACAATTGGTGAAATGGATGCTGGGCCCATTTTTTTCTTATTTTTGTTTTTCCTTTACATTATCAATGTTTAGTATTATATTGAAATTTTTGTTGTCATTTTCAAATATCAATTTGTATTTAAGTACACTAACACACATTTTATATTCTTAATTATATTCTTTCTATTATTATGCTTAATTATAGTAAGTATGAAAACTTAATTTAATTTAAGAATCAATTTAACTTTTGTTGATACAAAAAATAATTACATAAATACAATTGGTATTTATTGCTTTTTAAATATTTATATATTAAACACAATAAGTATGTTAATAATATTATATTTTTACTAATCAATCAGCTATCTATCTAAACATCTTTTTTAGAACCGCTAACAGTATCGACCGGTCAAAACAGCCAATACTAGCAGCTGGTCAAAACAGCTATTACAATCCGCTATCCGCTAAAGCTAACCGCTAATTACCAAACAAGACCAGTATGTTTGTTTGGTGGTAGGATTGGATAAAAATAATACCAAGTGCTAGGATTATTTATATCTCATCTAAAAGTTGGGATGGAGTTATCCCATATTCATGGGGATAAAACAATTTTTCATCCCGAGTCTACCCCATAATACCGGGCCTTCATCCAGTGAAACAAACATGGGATAGGTTAGGATTAGGCAGGATATCCTACCTAATCCCATGAAACAAACGCGCACTAAGTATAAAATTTCTTCATATCATCTTCTCTTATCTTATCTACTAGGTTGTCCAACGGCTGTGCACGCAGTCAGGCCTAGTCCAGTCTATAATTTGAAGGCGAATGCAGTCTATAATTTTAACTAATATTATTTAAAATTTGAGAATAGACATATTCATTTTTTATGGTAGTTATAATTGTAGATAAACATTGCAATAATATAATGATATATTAACCAGTTTATAAAAGTGAAGGGTTAGTTTAATCTATAATTATGAAATGGTAGTTTTTTTTTTCTTTTTTTTTGTCTAACCTAAAAAATGTTATTCATAATGTGTCTAACCTTATACATATATTTATCAAGCTGAAAGAATACACGTACATAAATTTGCTAGCATTTTTAAAAGTAGCTTGAAATTACTTCATATGAATCTATCACAAAGACATGAGCCTTACAACATAAGATATCCATCAATCACAAAAAGCGTCAAAAAAATAGTTTTGGCTTACCATAAAATCCTAAAAGTTGTGTTCAAAACGAAAAGATTACCATTAACCTAACAATCTACCCAACATAGCAACATAAACTTGTCCTAAAGTTTAACCTTGAAAGCAATTTCTTCATGTAGTATGAGCGTAAACTCACAAATTGACTCTTCAACGATGTGTTTTTTAGTTAGAAAGTCTCGACATCTAGTCCCAAATATTTATTATTTTTTTGTTGCCTCAAAATAAATTGAAGTTTAAAATATGTCAAATCTCATTCATACATTTGCTCGCTTCATAAGACTACACATGTAATAAAATTACCCTGCCAATAAAATACTCGTATGGTTTACTAACATTACTGACCAATAGGTGATTGGAAATGTGGAAAGCACCATTGTCATGGGCTTGCACGATTGGTTTCGTGAGCATTTAACTGGTATTAATTAGTCGAGCCAGTTTAGCTGCTTTTCTTCTCGTTTACCAACTCCACGGTTTATCAGCATTCGCCACGACCTGATAGATGTTCTGAAACCTAAACAAAAAATGATTATTTCTCTTATGATTATTAGTAGAATGATTTAACTCTAAGAAAACCTGATGTGTGAGACTAGGGTCATTGACTAAGGAAAAATGATGCACACATTTGCTCAAAATCTTATCCGAGTCAGGCTGGCAAATTTCTTATAACATGTGGAGATCACTTTATTTTTTCCACCACTTGTGGTAAATTACTAACTCCCTTACGAAAACAATATTATTGGTTTTATTAAAAGCTCCCTTTAGTGATTAGAGTCATGCCAAAAGTTAGAGCTCCTAATGCAGCCAAACCAACAAAAGACGACTGCAAGATCCAACAACAAAATAAATTAAACAAATAATTTCTTATTCCAAATTAGAAAAAGAAATACATCCTACACCTGCAAGAATTCAAGAATTCAGGACACATAAAAGCAAGATAGTAGATTAGCCCGCACCCTCAACAAATGCCTCTGCTACTCTAAAAGCGGCAACAAAAATACAAATGGCAATATAATTTCAAGTTCCATCGTTTTCCTGATGTGGGACAAAAGTCAGCTTACCAGAAATTTACCACGGCAGAGCCACAAATCATATTATATCATATGCACAGGAAAATAATATTACGATTGTATTATAAATTAAATATATAAATAACATTAATCATGATTTATCTATTGTTTTTAAATTAAATCGGGTTGGACATAGTCTGACCGGATGGACCGAAAACCGGTTTATAACCAGTTTAGTTCGCTTGAATAAAATATTTGCTCTCGAATCCGTCAACACCAGTCGGTTGGACTGGTAGGATCGATACAATTTTTTAAATAAATTTTGTTATATTTAAAATTATTTTAAATAAAATTATATATTTAAATAAAATAGAGATTTATAAATTATTTATCAATTAGTTTAAACATATGAATTTATAAATTATTTAGATATCTAAGTAACACATTTTATTTAAATTTATTACAAAACGTACAATATATATATGTATATATATTAAAATGTTTATAAATTAAAATCTGAATAAACCACAAATAATTTAATAAAATAGCTTGATCGTTTCGATGACGGTCTAGTTCTGAAAACCTTATATTTACTGTACATTAATAAATATTATAATAAAATATTATTTAATTCACATAAATATTAATAAAATGAAATATAAATATTCATAAATCATTAAACATGTTGTCATAAAAGTATTGTTAATGCAATTATTTGAAGTTTGAGCTACATCACATTCACGTTATAAAATATTTTCAATATAAAATTTATATTTAGGTTCAATAATCGATTTAGGGTGGTCGAACTAATATATAACTTAGTTACCTGAGACCAACCAAGTTGTGTCAAGTTTTTTGACTATTTTAAATATCACCTAAAAGTAATTCAATCAACCTGGGCAGTACCCTAATTCAATCATCCTATTGATCCGAAATTTTTTTCTTATTTTTTAAATATATTTAATTTTATGAAATAAAAATATTTTATGATTCATATAATAAATGTATACACCAAATGATAGTATATTAAGATTATAAATTATATATCTAAGGATGAAATAATATTTTTACATTATGCATATTAATAAAAAATAAACATAGTAATTTTGAAAAAATAAAATTAATTGATTGATTATGCAATTTAAAAAATATTTTAGCGTTCAATATTTTTTTTAAAGGCAAATATAAATACCGAGATTCTAAAACTTTTGTTATATTCTAAATTGAGATTTTATAAATATAGAGACCGAGATTCTAATGTTGTTCGTTGTTTCTAAGAAAAAAATAAAAATAAAAACATACACACTTAATAAATCTTAGTTGAATTTTTTAAATAATAAAATAAATTAAAGCTCTAAATTTAAAGTAGCATTTAATGTTGTATGATTTTTTAAAAAAAATAAAAAAAATAATAAAATTTACTATTTATAGGCTGCATTAAATTCTGACCTATTTTTTCTACTATTTTTGGTAAATGATAATTTTTATTTTATATATATAGATATGTATGTAATTTAAGAATATTCAATAGGTTTCCTTAGATGCATTTTTTATACATAAACTCATCAAAGATGGCTAACAAAAAATCTACGGTGTCGTTTTGTGCATATTATTTCTCTAACCCTGGCTTGTTCGATTCCTTTGCAGAGACAAAAATCTACGCCCAGTTTTTTTATCCTTCGTCTGCAAATTTGTTCAAAATTTTTTTATTTATTTTCCGTTCCGCCCGATTTTTGTAGCNACTTTAACAATTTAGGTTAAATTATTCGGGTTTATGTGTCTAATGGCCTTACTCGAGTTTGTTCATGTTGCTGGACTCGCTGGATAACTACAGGCCGCACACGACTACACGAGGAAGAATGAAGGTGAGAAAAACTTGGTGTACTAAAGATATGTGACCAGGGCTTGCTCATCCAGCAGAAGGCGAAGGCTGTTCTGATTGCAATCCTATTTGCTGTGAGTTTTTGATTTTGGGAAATCAATTCATGGATATTTTTGAAGTCGACTTTAGGCATCTGTGTTGATGTTTTGACTGAGGTTTTAGGTTTTTCTGTTTGTTGTATAAAAATAGCACTGTTCAATTAATGAAATCAATTACTTTTAGTGATTTAGGTAAACTTTTGACGGGAGCTGCAATGAGGGACTTCTTGGGCGTGATGTTGAGCACGAATCCCAATGTGGTTGTTCTAGCCGAGCAGGAGGGGGAACACGATGGGTCCGGCCTGGAGTTGAGGCACTGCAATGCTCTGAGGTACTACGTGGCGGTTTTCGACTCGGTGGATGCGGGCCTTCCATTTGGGAGGGTTGAAGGTGGATGAGATGTTCGGTCGGGGGATTCTGAATATAATGTGCGAGGGTCGGGAGAGGCATGAGCAGCACTAGGTGTTCGGAAGGTGGATGGAGGTGATGTCGGGGGCCGAGTTTCAGAGTCGGGAGATTGGGTCCTTTACATGGCCATTGTTGGTATTAGATCGGGAGAGGCAAGAACAACACAGATGTTTCTACATGTAAACTAATCTGCTGTTTGGTTTTGCTGATATTAGGTCCTTTAAATGGCCATTGTTGGATTCCAATGAGATTTCCTTTGAGTTGTGGCTTTGATTGACTGATTTCAGGTACCTTGACTAGCGGTGGTGATTATGTGGTAGAAGAAAGATTCACAGTCCATTGATTCAACGTTCGTGAGGACATACCTGAATTTGAGTTGATATCCAAAGTCTATTAGTCAGCTAAACATGAATCCCAATGCTCATGGTTTGTTGAGTTTGAATTTTATCCGAGTTTTCTTTTGATTTTATTTATCCTCTTCTTGTGATATGATTGTGTCAAAATCCATGGAGTAATTACCTAAGAACATATAATCTATTCTCAAACAATCTCATAGATTTCACTTTATGAAGACAACTTATGTTTACCATTAAATTATATGGTCGTTGATTGTTGCCTGGAGAGATTGAGTAGGGTATCTTGGCGCAAACCATTACTTTATGATCTATGATGTCTGAAATATGTGATTTCTTCTTCAGACAAATAAAATGCAATAAAATTGGAAAATTGAAGTTCGCGTGCATGGTTTTTGCAGGTACACTACCATTACCTAAACATATTTGAGTGAAATATCACTCGAAAAGGATGTCTATGGATTTTATCCCCTAAACATTGGAAAATTGGCATTGAAAGGCAGAGATTCATTGTTCATTCCCTTTACACCTAAGGTAATACTATACACAAACCACCATATTCCTTGAGACCCAACTTAGATGCTATGTCGACACTTTCAGTAGCTTTTACTATTTCTTGAATATATGAGTAAAATAAACTTTTGATTGGTCCATTTGTATTAAACAAGGTTGTTCTTGCTGGTAATTTTACTATTTCTTGAATATATGAGTAAAATAAACTTTTGATTGGTCCATTTGTATTAAACAAGGTTGTTCTTGCTGGTAAGTTGAAGGCGCCGGTGATTTCTTTTCTTGCAGGATATTAATTTAATATGGAGAAACTCTTTTTTTCATTGTTGGTGCTGTTTGATGACAGTTTCCTTCGGATTCAAGTAAACAAACAGAACAAGGAATTAAAGTTAGCTTATCTCGAGCTATATTTTGTTCATCCATTTCTTTAGTTTCTAAAGCTCATTCATAGTCCAACATTCGACAATTATAGCTGTTAATGATTAGTGGCTTTACTTACAATTTAAAAGTCTGGCTTTGAAGGAGGCACGAGAGTTGATTCAGGGGCTGACGAAGAAATTCAAGAAGGCGGTGTGGCATGTTTTTTGACCTGCCACGTAAATCAATAATCCTTCCACATCACATAAAAAACATGCCACGTCACGCCACATCAATTTTTTATCCGGGGTGCGGATAAAAAGGGACCAAAAATGATAAAATAGACAAATTATAGGACCCAGATTGAAAGTGGTCAATGACAGGGTGTGTTTTTGGATTGTGGCCAAGTTATAGGACCAATTTTGAAATTAAGCCTGTTTTTTGCCAAGACAAAAACAACTTAATAAGCCAGCCATGATCCTGTTTTCCACGCAACACAAAATGGGAAAAAAACTTCGTCAACTATTAACAAGGCTTAATATATAAGTTAGACGTGGCCATTTGCCGGGCCGGGTCGAAACCCGGCCCGGCCCGCCGGGTCGCCGGTTCACCATGTGTTGAACCGGGCCCGGCCCGCCTGTAACCAAGGGCCGGGTCGCAAACCCGGCGGGTTTGCGGGTTCCGGGTCGGGCCTGGCGGGTTTGCGGGTTTTTAATTTATTTTATTTTTTCTTTTTTTTGTTATTTTAATGTATATTAATGTTTATTTGAATAAATAGTTTGTATATACTTCGAAAATATAAGTTTTTGAGTCTGTTAAATTGTACGTCAAACGACAAACGGTTAACGGTGTTGTATTTTATTGAGTATGGCGGAGAAGTACAACTTAAGTGTAAAGAAAAAAATTATTAATGAAATGGACTTGAGCTTAGTTAACAGTTATTAAGTTCGAATATCGTGTGCGATGAAAAATTTTGTTACCAAAAAATTATACTCGAACTTAATAATGTTAAATAAGGTGCCTACGTATCCCTTTATTTGGGAATCAAAGTCCACGTAGTTCTTCTAAAACACATACCTTGGCTGCATACCTTTAATATTCGTATTCGTCTTCGACGTCCCCCCCGGTTCCACTTGTCGACGACGTAAAATCGGATGCTTCGTCGTTGTCGTCCTCCTCCTCATTCGAAGTGAGCATAGCAGTTTGCATCCTTCGTTCGGCCTTCTTCCAATCACTCAGTAACATTTGTGCTTGAAGATTATCAGGCGTCATCCTCGACCGTCGTGGATCTAGCATGTAGCCGCCCTCACTGAATGCTTGCTCAACCGCGACTGTAGATGCTGGGACAGCAAAGATCTCCTTGGCCATAATGCATGGAATAGGAAAAATTCCTTCCATTCTTGACCACCAATCTAACACATCGAAATTGAGTGGCGGTTGAGGTGGACGTGCAATCGTAACGGCTAAATTCGACGTAAGGTAGTGATCCAGCTCATAGTATCCAGTCCCCTGCACCCTTTGACCGCCCGAGTTTTTGTAGGGATTTAATGAATCCCAAAACACTTTGAA